TGGCCAAACCATTTGAACACAATAGGGGGGAAAACAAAAACACACTAATATTAACTAAGCACAGAATAGCCTAACTAAACCTAAAACACCCCTGCTCCTGGCAAGCCCATGGTTGGTCCTGCTGAGCAGGCATTTTGTTCCCAGAGTCCTCAGCCACGCCTTTTTGCCCAGACAGGAAACAGCCACCGCCCAAACCCAGGTAACTCAAAGAAAGACAAACATAATTAATATAACAAAACATTTTAGAAAAACCACACAATGTTACTATGTGCGCGCCTCATAATATCAGTGTTAGGTTTAACCAAATGATTAATGAATTATATTAATGAAGAAAACTGCAAAGCAAACTAATAAAGTGAAAAATGGACTAATTTACCCCTGTGTGGCTGATGCCATCACATCGGGAATGGGACCCTTCTCTAGAGGTTATCTTTCAGAGTCATCCCACACATTGGCTCAAGGTTACTGACAAGTATGGACTGTATACAAGAGACTTACCAAAATTCAATTCATTCAACATTCAACATTTGGCAATAAAACCCTTTCTGATTCTGATTCACTTTTTTAGAATGAAAGGTTTAAATGTGCTGCATTATCTCACAACCTTCCAGTTCCCCTCTGTCGGCCTCCAGAGTATCCTGGGACACCATCCAAGACTGTGGATGAGCTCACATACAGCAAAAGAAAAAAGTTGCCCAGTTAAAATAGCTCAGCTAATAACGCTGTTACATGTCTCTTCATGGGGCAGGTTCAATTCAGTTCAATTCAATTCTCATCAAAATAACAATTTAGTTGCCTAAATGTGCTCAAGATCAATATATTTTCATTAGTTGAGCAATAATTTAAGACATACCACAGCATTAGCTATACATGCTTATACTTCACAGGGCCACAGGGGTAGAGACTGGCTTGTCTTGGGGGAGTCATTCCCTACCTTGTTTCCACAGGCCTTTTAAATGTAAATCCATCATATAATACGTTCTGTGTTCTCCCTTTGTCTACATGGTTTCTCTCTGGGCACTCAAACTTCCTTCCTGATGGAGCAATGGTTATCTGTCCCTCAGTGATAGCCCTGTCCAGGGTGTACCCTGCTTCTCGTCCTATCACAGCTGGGATGCACGATCTGATATCCTCGTGTTGGTGTTGTTCCCAGATCATCATACTAAAGGTTGTTCCAGGATCAACATTGCAAGTGACCAATCAGAATGTTGTGATGTCATACTTTTGCGACTTCGGGAAAAACCGGCGTAAAACAAAAAACTGTACTTAAGCTGCGAGAAACCGCCTTTGTCCGCCGATCAACGGACCCTAACCCTGACCCTAACCCTTTAATAAACGCTAAGCAGAATTGATATTGTCCTTGCAACATTGGAATTTCATAAATGCACGAATGAGTTGGTGCGCAAAAGAATAACGTCACAACAATGTGATTGGTCACTTGCAATGTTGAACCTGGAACAACATTTTCATGATGATCTGGGAACAACACCAACACGACGATATCAGATCATCCAGCTGGGATAGTCTCCAGCGTCTCCTCCTCCTTGATTAAGACAAAGAAAATCAATGAAGGGATTATAAAAAATAATTGTATAAATACAGAAAGGATTTGAAATAGCTTAATCTTCTGTGTTAATTTGCCACAAGTAAATATTAAAATTATGGGCTGGTGCTTTAAGGTTGATGGGAAAATTGTCTTTGGAGCAGATACAGAAATGCACCTGTTTCCCAGCCAGATGTTTAACAGCAGTGTTGAATGTGTGTGTTAATGTGTTCAGTGTGTATGCAGTAAATTATGCGTGCTAACGAGTGAGGGAGACACAGATAAACTGTTAAGCAGACAGACCAAATTAATGTGTGTGTGTGTGTGTGTGTGTAAAATGTCCTCAGAGCTTGTATAAAATTTAATGACAGAATGAATTAAATTAGCGTGCAATATAACACGAACTCTCCTCTCCAGGGCTCCATCCAGCAGCTGCTGTTGAAGGCAGATCCCACGGCCCCAGATGACCAGTGTGAGGAGGACGATCCTTATGTGAGTCTGCATGAAAACACTCGAAACTGAGAAAAGTTCAGCTCCTCAAACGTCTCTAAAACACTGCAAACTTGGAACTATGGCTCCCTCTGCTGGTAGACATACAGCACTGCATAAAATTCTATTCTGACGCCCGCATACATCAACATTTACATTTAAACATTTAAAAACATAAACCATCATGAATCCATTCAACCTGCTTTGGTGCAAATGAAAGTGACAGCGGGTCAAAGCAGCTAGATTTTTATAATCTTGTCAAACAGCTTCCCAGTGCTTTAGGTCAGCGTGAAACAACTGGTTTTGAAATGGCCTACTGTCACACTATATATTTTTGACTGACAAAAAAAGTCATTTCACACATTTTTTAATCATTTAGAGGTAAAACGTTAAATATGAAAATGTTCAAAATGTTCTAAATTGACCTGTTTTGTAACTATAGTGGCGTTACAACATACAGGGATTGGTGTAATCATAAATACAAGGTCCAGCTTAATACGTGCTTGAAATTTTTTATGTTGCTAGTAATTTCCTCTTAAATCTTGGTGAGCTGCCCAGTTTTTCTTCTATTTGCTTGCCTTTAAAATCTTTAAAGTGCACTACATTTAAAGTAAATGTCTTAAATTACACGCATTATCAAGCCCACTACCGGCTATGGAGATAAGTTTTCCTCAATAATATTGTCCTTTCTTGTGTTAGCAAGGTA